ACACACACACAGAGCGCCACCGTGCGGCCGGCCTGATATCACACAGACAGGAGGACTTCCATAGACACACACACACAGAGCGCCACCGTGCGGCCTGTCTGATATTACAGAGACAGGAGGACTTCCATAGACACACACAGAGCGCCACCGTGCGGCCAGTCTGATATTACACAGACAGGAGGACTTCCATAGACACACACACACAGCGCCACCGTGCGGCGGGCCTGATATTACACAGACAGGAGGACTTCCATAGACACACACAGAGCGCCACCGTGCGGCCAGCCTGATATTACAGAGACAGGAGGACTTCCATGGACACACACAGAGCGCCACCGTGCGGCCAGTCTGATATTACACAGACAGGAGGACTTCCATAGACACACACACACAGCGCCACCGTGCGGCGGGCCTGATATTACACAGACAGGAGGACTTCCATAGACACACACAGAGTGCCACCGTGCGGCCTGTCTGATATTACACAGACAGGAGGACTTCCATAGAAACACACACAGAGCGCCACCGTGCGGCCGGCCTGATATCACACAGACAGGAGGACTTCCATAGACACACACACACAGAGCGCCACCGTGTGGCCGGCCTGATATTACACAGACAGGAGGACTTCCATAGACACACACACAGAGCGCCACCGTGCGGCCAGCCTGATATTACACAGATAGGAGGACTTCCATAGACACACACACAGAGCGCCACCGTGCGGCCGGCCTGATATCACACAGACAGGAGGACTTCCATAGACACACACACACAGAAGCCACCCGTCGCGGCGGCCTGATATCACACAGACAGGAGGGACTTCCATAGACACACACACGCACACAGAAGCCACGTGTAGCCCGACCTGATATTACACAGACGGGAGGACTTCCATGAGACACACACAGAAGCGCCACACGTCGCGGCCGGCCCTGATAATACACACAGACAGGAGGACTTCCATAGACACACACACAGAGGCGCCACCGTGCGGCCGGCCTGATATTACAGAGACAGGAGGACTTCCATAGACACACACAGACAGAGCGCCACCGTGCGGCCGGCCTGAAATTACACAGACAGGAGGAC